TATAAAATCATGAAGGGACAGACAAGAAACGTATCTACAGCACCAAGAGATTCACGGATCCCCTCCCTTGTGGACAGTCAAACCATCCCCTCTCCATGTACAATTCCACTCACCTCCAAGTAGCCCCAGAGCTAGTTCCCAAGTTTTCTTGCCACCTCAGCCCAGAGCTCGTGTCATAAGGAGGCAACTCCACTAATAAAGATTCCTCACACAATAAAGAAACTTCTTGGTGGCACACTAGAACTATCTTGAATTAACCTCTAGAGAGAGGGTAAAGTTCAGGAGGAAATAAGTGTTTCCAGACTCTAGAAACCAAGTTTAACTTTAATGCAGTTACCATAACCCATCAAACAGCACCTGTCTAGTTGAAATTATAAGAGTGGATTGTTAAACTTCTAAGTAAGGGAAGTTATTTGTTTTCCTTAAGAATAAGAACAGTATCTACATGTTACATACACAATGGTGTTGCTGAAAGATCTGAAGACCTAACTTGAAGAATGATGTCTCCCACTTAGTAGGTATGTAACATTGGGCAAGTTACTTAACCTGAGTCTCAATTTCTTCATTTGTAAAAGAGATTATAGTATCTACTATATAAAGATGCCATGATGATTTAAATGAGATAATATGCTCTATAAAATGAAAAATGGGGTTCAAATATAAGGTACTAGAGGAAAAGTAATAAATACCCTCAGAAAATGTTATTTCTGAAGCCAGTGTTGGAGTACCTAATAAGCAGATTAAGCGTGTGATAACTAATAAAACAAGGGGATCAGAAAGAGAGACCAATTTTATTTCACTGAACTCATTCAGAATTCTGCAATTAGAAAATCTAGAAAGAACTTAATTTCAGTATACCTATGTCTTGTGTTTTACAATTTAGTATTTTTATTTTTAATTTCATAAGGATTACATATAATCTTTTCAGTGTTAAGGGCTTCTAGAGTTCATAATCTGACCTTGTGTGGGTTCACCTGAAATAGATTCAGTAAGGACTATAAGCAAAAGCATGTAAAGCCCTGTTACATTTCAATGAAAGATACAAAGAACATACACTATATATGTCATGTGGATTAATTATGTATTTCCTGGTATTTGTAAATTACTTCAGAACTAAGAGGAACTGTGGCAGCATGAGTAACTGCAACAAGTGTATCTCAAATCCAAGGTGGTCTAAAGATGGAGACTTGGACATATGGAATATTTGATCATGTGGATGTAAGATGCAGCCTAACTGCACAAATAACTAATTATGCCTGCCTTAAGACTGATAATGACATCGTCAAAACCAAAAGAGGATCCTCCATGTAGTTCATGCCTGAAATTCCTTAAAAGCATTTTCTAATAAGTCTTACAAACCCATGCCTTGCTTTGACAGAGCATGCATCTGGAAACACAAAAAGCATTGTTCTGTTTCTCTCTGTAATGACCACACGCTAAATAGGCCATGGTTCCTGGACCAAACGCTCTGCACTGATGAGAGTTAGCAGAGAGTCAGGCAGGGGGTGCCCCCCTTTGTTGCTGCTTTCATTTTTAAAATGAATCATAATTTCTGCATTGGATACGAAGATGGGTTTACAGCTATTAGCCATCATATTAATAATTTAGAAAATACATGCCCAATCACTTGTGTTCTTTCAATTCCCTATGAACACAGCTGCAGCCCATGTTAGAAGCGAGAGTGAATGGATATTTTTCAGATGAGATATTTGGGCTGAATTATTAGGGTAGCCTGTACTACAAAATTACTAATAAACATTGCTTCTGGCTCAATTTAGCCTGAACTCAGTGAACCTAGCCAATGGTGACAAATCAAAAACTCCGAAATGCCCGATGAATGAATCTAACTAATCAAGGAACCCTGTAGGAAAGAGATGCCAGGATTAATGAGCCAGTAGTTTCACCATGCCATGCTGTTATTTCTTCACATAAGTGCCCTCAGATGAGATTACCTTTATGTCATGAAAAGGAGAAAAGGAAGGTTACATTCTTTCAACTGACAGGTTAACTACTGCCATTACTAGAAGACACATCTTTGTGGCCTAAGTTTTTTCTTTATCCTAAAAATTAATATGTAAATTCCACAACACAAATTAAAAACATTTTCATTTTCAGGGTAAACAGTCATTGACATCAATCATAAATTGCTCCAAAGTTACAACTTGCTCTATACTTTCCATTTACATCTACCCTGATTTACCCAAATTGCTCTGCATCCCATTTTCTATTCAATACCCTAAGATCATCTTTAGTAGGCTGAATTCCTATATCCTATTTCTTCCATCATTAACAAAAGGTAAACTAAGTGCAACACCATTACTATGCCATTACTTGTATGCCATGTATGATATTTAGTACCAATACTGAGGAGAAAATAAAGATACAAGGATGAATTTGAGTATTCAAATAAATCAATCATATAGTTACATCATAATAGACTTTGACTTTTCCTAGCTAGCATGTGGTGACAGTATTGAATGCCAAACAGACTACTCAGCAAAAAGTACAATTCATTAGAGGCAGGACATCTAACATGTTGTACTTATCTACCTTGTACTCTGATATTATTCATCATTATTGCCTTTATTCCCTTACCGAATGTAATTATTTTTATAACTTTAACAGTTTTGAGGCAGAATTGCTGCTGCTAAGGAGTAAAAAATAATATGAAGAATTATCCTGCTGTTAGTGTTTTTTTCTCCCTCAAAAATGCGGAAATCTTTCAGGTTTGTGATTGAGATTTTCATTCTCTGCTTTTTATCTTTGCTAAACTGTCAACCTTAACAATTTTGGCCAGGTTGCCTTCCCTTATGCTAATGGCAAATACGACATTAAAATGTTCAGAATTCTTAATACAGACATCTATTGCCATAGAAACAAATATTATTCCAGAGTCAGGTTAAGTGAAAAACTCTGTACACTTTCATTATAATATTGATAAATAACCACTATATTATGAAATATAAGTATCTCTGAAAGCATCTATCACTTCAGTTGATTTGTAACTTCTCATCAGTGTTCTGAGTTGGCCCATTTTTTTTCAAATGAAAGATCCCATTTCCCTTGCCTTTCAGAAATACAATTTTTAAAGATTCCATTTAGCATCCTTTATTGCATTCCTACATCATAAAGTTATGCTTTATAGCAGCATAAAAAAGCTGTAAAATTAGCATCCTTGTAAACAACCTTCCATGCTGCTCACTGGTGAAGCGATCTGTGATTTGTACTGATCTCTTAAATGTGACGAGATTACAGTATCCACAATTTCAAGTTTAAACAACAACAACAACAACAAAAAAAAACCACTCCTCTAAACCAAGGGAAATTATGACGAAACGTAAAAATAAGGAAAAGTATTTTTCATCTACAGATACTTCACAAATTCGGTTATTATGCTGCTAGATTACATTCTTTGTGCATTCTAAAATATGGAAATGTTCCATTTTTATATGAAATTCCAAATGAGTATGTTTTTATCATCTTTAATATTTTAACATTATATTAAATATACCCTTTAGAAAATGGAGAATTGAAATAGTCTGTGAACCCACCCACCAATTTTACCTCTGATTAAAATTCCTAAGGTAACATGAACAAATGATTTTTCTTTATCATAGAAAATCATGCCTTTCCGTCCTCACCTTCCAGGAAATTCCATTTGTTCCCTTAGTTGAGTAACAATTACAACAGTTTATTAAATTCACATATAGCCCTGTGGTCTGAAATTGTATTCTAGGAAAGGGTGTTTTTAGGGTTTCTACTCTGTGGCAACCAAATGAGAAATCTTCCCATGGGAAAGGGTGCACTCTCAATGCCTATAATGACCATTAAATTTCAAACCACAAGATTGATTTTCGTTAGTCTTCCAAAGGAAGCCTGTGATATCGACTCGCCTCCAAGTTTAAAACACCCGCAACCTTCCACCTCATTCTACCGAAGAAACAGCAATTTTCACTACTAGATAGTTTGGGGGAGTCCCCTGAGCACATGGCTAAATCTGAGGTTAGCTCGAACCAAGGATGGACCCTGAGAAAACTAGAGCAGTCTCGCAGGGGAAAGCCTGAGAGGCACCGACCAGCAGCCAGGTGGCCCTGGGCAATCTTCTCCCCCACCGGGAAGGCCCAGGTATCTGAAGCCTAGCCCACCTCCGCGCACACAAAGGGGCTGAGGCCCGCTTTCCGTCGGCCATGAGGCCTAGACGCTAGGGGAGGAGCCCCAGACCCTGGGAGACGAGCCCCGAGCCTTTCTCGTCCACCGCGTACCTGGGGCCGGACGGGGTTCTGGGCGTCGCCGGAGGGCAGAGCTCCCGGTCCTCACGCTTTCTTCGCGGCGGTCCTTCCTCCTGCCCACAGCCTCCCCAGCACACGCACGCAGCCCGGCGAGGGTTGCCGTCCCCTCCTCTGTCGGAGGGAAACCGCACACCTGAAAAGCTTTTATCCACTCTCGGGCCCTGCGGCAGCTGCGCCCGGCAGCGGGCCAAAGCCTCGCGAGGCCTCGAGCTCGCGTGAGGAGATCACCACTCGGCCTTCTCACTTCCGGCCTGCAGGCCGTAGACTCCAGGCCGGGCCTGCCCCGCCGGACGCTGGGTGTGAGCGCGCTACCTAGGTTGCTGTGCAACCCGGGAACTGAACCTAAGCCTACTGAAGGGCGGACGCGTCCCAAACGCAAAGATCCCGCCAACTGAGCGCGAACTGAGCACCTCATAGACGGACTCTCTTCCCCTCTCCCCCGCGAGACCCTTCCGCCATTCAAAGTCACACCAAAACCCATCGTTCTCTCCATATCACATACAGAAAATGATTTTATTTTATCCATTTACATTTAACGATATAAACTTGTCCGGAAAAGTCAAATAATATGCTTTATATTAGCTCAAACATTTATTAAGAAAACCAAATTCCATAAATAAGCACAGACAATAAGTTAAAACAGATCACAAATTGACCAGTATATAACAAGAATGCTTTATCTACACAAAACATCCTATTTCACATGTTTGTTCATTCTTCGAAAGCGCTTCTGTTCTCTGGGTTTGGATTTGACCAGCACATGCAGAAAGAGCTGATTGTGTTTCTCTGTACAAAGTTGCAGGGTTGTAGATGTCCGAGTGCAACCATCGGCGGCCGGCAGGGGCCAGGGCGGTGGCCGAGGGGCACGAGGGACGACAGGACGATCACAAAACAACCAAGGGCACAGAGCAGCGAGGAGAGAGAAACGGAAAAAGGAAGCAAACAAACCCCAGTCCTGAAGGATCCAGAAAAGAGATGTGGCTTTTGCTTTTACAAAAGGAAAATTTTCGCATATGTTTATTTTATTCTTCCTTATGAAGACTTAACAAAATGGGTAAGATCGCCTCTTCTTCATCACATGACTGCATTAGTCTACTCCAGCCACCCAGTCCACTGGTATGTTCCTCCTGAGAAGCCTTCCCTTCGATACCCTCACACAGCTGTGCTTAAGAAAACAAAAGTAAGATCAAATAAAAGAGTTCTTTTGCAAGCTAATAGAGGGCTGCATGGATGTGACTGGGTAGACAGGGCAAGGAACAGATGGTGGGAGAGGAAAGAAAGAAAGGATTTCGGAGCAAGAATACAAGGATAAATCAAACTGTAATCATTTGGGCCCTCAGATGAGGTGATTGATAGCAGATGCTTGTCCTCCTTTAAGACAAAAATCCCTAACATTGTGCTGTCCCTTGAACACGTCCGTGTGTGACCTAGGTGCACTGTGTATGTGTGTGTGTGCTCGTGTGTCTGTAGCGTCTGAGAGTGCGAGTGTGTGTGTTTCTGCCCACAAACCAGTCCATTGGTGTCTGATTTCAGATCCTGAGTCTACTCCCTGGCAAGTAAAATGGCGGGAAGGATGCTTTTTGCAGGGCGCGGGAGGAGGGGCGTGAGGTGCGGAGGCGGGATGGTGGGGGAAGAAAGGACCGGAGGGGAGGCGGTGGGCGAGGGGGTCATAGGCGTCTTGTTGAAAGTGTGGACGGGAAGGCCGCCAGTCAGAAGGCCGTGAGGAGGGCGCGAGCACGAGGAGTGCGAGCGAGGAGGCCAGGGGTGGCGGGAAAGGGTGGGGTTAGACGCTGGAGTTGGGGCGGTGGGAGGGGCTGGGTGAGACTGGGAGAGTCGGTTTGGGGAGGGTAGGGGAGAGCGAAATCAGGCAGAGGGGAGGCCTCGCGGGCTGGGGCTTGGGGTGAGCCCGAGAGAGTGGTGGAGAGAGGAAA